TAACTCCGTTTAAAATAACCGCGTTAATAAAAAAAATCTTTCTTTCTGTAACAAGCAAACTAATTAATTACGTCCTCTTTTATCAAAACGTCGTTCCTGTTACTGGTAAGAAATGCGTGCGTTAAGCAGCGCGGTGTGTTGAAGCTGTCATCAGCTGATCAGGAGCTACTCATCAGCTGATCAGGAGCTAAAGAGGCAGATGTTTAAGAGCATCACAGCCGTGAAGAACGAGGAAGACGTGATGAATAGTCTACGGCTGCAGACTCCCCGCAGATTTGTTGCTGCAGCAGCGAATCTGCGGGTCTGCAGCCGTGCCCTTAGCGTGACAGCGGGACGTCCCGAAGGTCCGCTCACCTGCCGCTCAGACGTCCTGATCACCTTCCTAGATCATCCAGCTGTAACCTGTTCCTGATCATGTCTTTAGCCCCGCTGTAACACTGATGCATCAGTCTCAGACGTCATGGAGCTCAGGTGTTATCAGAACTACCTGTGTGTGTTCACCACCCAGCTTCAGCTCTTCTGTGGTTGGGTCTGACCCACGTTAGTAAATGTAAGTCCTCCATCAGATCTGTGCCTCTTCTAGTGTCATTTTAAAGGATATTTATTTATTTATTTATTTATTTATTTAACCATTACTAGATTACCAGCAACAGAAATGCTACTAAAAACACACAATTATGTGAAGCTGGGAAAAATTAGAATGCTGTGCAAAATTACATTTATTTCTGTAATTTAACTAGACTGAGAGACCATTTAAAGGCTCGGGAACCTTTACAGGTGTTTCTATTTGCAATTTTAAATTTTAGCTGATTGGGTTTTTGTTAAATATCACACAGTGACCTTTTAATAGTCTAGATAAGTGTAATGTTCCTATTAGTAGTTCCTCGTGTTAAGTGCTTATTTATTTAAATTATTCAGGTTTATATAAAACATTTGGACTTACATTTTATTATGTTCAGTCATTAGTCATTTATATTTTACTATTGTAGTAATTCTTGCATTCTTTAATGAAAAAAGTAACTAAGTAGTTACTTTTGTTGGTAATTAGTTACTTTTATGATCTTGTAACTCAGTTAGTAACTGAGTTACTTTTTTGACAAAGTAATTAGTAACTATAACTAATTACTTTTTTAAAGTAACGTTCCCAACACTGGTGACTGCAGTTTTATTTTTTGGTCTAACTTTATCGGACAGCCTGCTGCTCGCTGAAGATTTAGCTACAGTCAAAATGTACTCTGCCTCTCTCTACATGTACAGTACATCTAATATATACGCACACATCACTATAAAGCTATATTATTAACATAAAAGCAATGTGATATCATTCGGCTGCTGTAAAGATTATTTAATAGTTGTATTTTAATTTAATTTCCTAAATATTTGTTATATAATTGATAATTTGTTAGACTGGAGTTAAAGGTTTTCATCCTGCTCACATCTCCAGCTGATTTATATGTTTTAAGAACAACATTTGTTTTAAGCTTCATCTCAACGACGCTCAGCGATGTCAGAGAATTACCACGAGGTCTGTGGAAACCCGTAGCATCAGTAGCATCAGTAGCATCAGTAGCATCAGTAGCATCAGTCAATAGATGTTCACACGAGATCAGAAACAGGTGTGATGCTGATATTTAGATATCCACCTGACATGTTGAGTTGACTTTAGTAGAAAAAGGCTTCAGCAGCTTGACTTCAGCTCGAACAGCAATTAAAAACCTTTAGCAGGAGCCGAGCCGCCGTCAGGCTCAATAAAGTTCAAGGAAATCGAGTTGGTGGGGAGAACACGATGGTGTAATGTTAAATTACTGTGCACCCGATCATTTTATTTACCAACTGTAACAGGACAATGAGGAAAACAAGAATAAGACAATGTTAACCTTTACTCTAGTTGCAGAGAGACCATGCAGGTTCACACTGAGACAAGATATGACAGGACAGGGTGCAACATTAAAGGTACAATATGTAAAAAGTTTAGAGCGAAATAATCACAAAACAGTCAAATGTCTGATCATGTTGGAAGAAACAGATTTCCCTCTCAGTCAGCTGGAACGTTGTCAGTTTTGGACTTTTTAAAAAGCTAAAGAGGGACGCAGTCTTTGTTTAAATCTGTGAACGTGAAGGGTTGCCAAGTCTGCGCCAGCTAATGCTAATGCTCCAGCGTTAGTAATTCAACACAAGCCGCCAATAAGCTCCAGAGTTTTGGACAGTTTGCTAACAGGAGTGACCCAGAAGTTATTTCTTTGACCCCTAAGAAGCAGAGGTGTGGACTCGAGTCACATGACTTGGACTCGAGTCAGACTTGAGTCATTATTTTAATGACTTCTGATGACTTGATAAAGTGTATAAAGACATATGACTTGACTCGGACTTGACCGCCAATGACTTGCGACTCGAATCGACTTGCATCCGTTGACTTGATGATGACTTGAGCATATTTGATATTTTAGCACAAAAGTGGCACGACATGGACAAAAATCATAAATCGTTCCGGGCTTGATTTACTGCTGAATGCAGCAGCACTTTGTTTCAGTTCAATCAATCAATCAATCAATCAATCAATCAATCAATCAATCAATCAATCAATCAATCAATCAATCAATCAATCAATCAATCAATCAATCATCAATCAATCAATCAATCAAACAATCAATCAATCAATCAATCAACCAATCAATCAATCAATCAAAGCTTTATATATAAAGCGCCTTCCGCCACCCTGTCGGTACATGAGAAAAGTTAAATATGATGAATAAATCGAAAATAAAAGCAATTCAAATATTACAAAAAAAGGTAAAACATTCTAGTAGAAGACAAACGGGTAAAACAAGAGATAGAGAGACCGATGACAACAGGGAAATAAAATCAACATTAAAGAGGGCCAAATTCAAACACGTTCAGGGAACTCCCAGTGGAGGAGGTGGGTTTTTAGGCGACTCTTAAAGGCTGGCAGAGATGGGGACAGCCTAACTGAGGGTGGCAGCTGGTTCCAGAGTGACGGTGCTAGGACTGAGAAAGCCCGGTCCCCGTGAGTACGACACCTAGAACGAGGGACAGCGAGCAGGCCTTGGTCAGAGGAGCACAGAGCGCGTGATGGGGAGTGTCTGTTCAGGAGTGTGGCTAGATAGGGGGGACCACCACCCTGGAAGAAATGATAAACAAAGACGAGGAGTTTAAAGTGTGAACGATAACAGACCGGAAGCCAGTGCAGGGAGGCCAGAACCGGACTGATGTGGTCCCGTTTCCTGATCCAAGTCAGAAACCTGGCTGTGCTGTTCTGCACAACCTGTAGGCGACGCAGTGATGACTGACACAACCCTGCATATAGAGAGCTGCAGTAATCAAGCCTAGAAATTACAAAAGCATGGAGTACCCGCTCCAGGTGGGCTCTCGGCAGCATAGGCTTGATTTTTGCAAGGCGTCTCAGATGAAAGAAACTGGACCGGATCACAGAGTTGATGTGAGCATCAAATTTAAGTCCAGCGTCAATTTTCACCGCCAGACTGGTGACAACTGGTTTTGAGTAGAGTTAATAATGCTTTATTAATTCAAAAACAACAATTTAGGGTATCTGTAATCAAATCAATGTGCCAGGAGGCTGAGCCATAGCACAGTCAAGTGCATCTAATATCAGATCTTTAAAATACAACTTCTACAATTTACCGCAATTGAAGTTACTTGAGGTTTTAGTCACACATCTTAATACCAACCAGTCAACAAACGGCAACGGTGACATGGTGAAGTAAACAGTCTTATAAACACGGGACTGAATTAGAGTAAATGCACACGGACGGACGGACACGGAAAAACATGGCGGACCGGCAACAACTAGTATGGCAGAGGTTGGTAAATACAGACATTTGTATGATTCGGCTCTCAGAGATCACCGTGATCAACATGTTGTTAATAATTCTTGGAGAGAAATAGCTCGCACTGTCGGAAAAGACGAGAACGCTGTTAAAAATGCTGGAATGCCATGTTGTAAACAGTAATTTTTACTTCTACTATGGTGTAGTGTTGGATGCATGCCGTAGAGCTCCATGCTGCCCCCTACAGTTTGGGAGAATATTGGCTCACCGCAGAGACAAGCCGCATGAACCATAAACGCTGCGAGTTGTGAAGCGCGTTCCATCCGCGAGCCGCATCACCGCGCGGAAAGTGAATGCGTCAAGCATAAACCAAGCTTTAGATCCAGATGGAGGCTTTTTTTGGCCAGGCGGTGTCCAGTGAGCTACCTAGCTGGTGAGATATTAACTACTCATTAATTGGACAGAATGGATCAATTAATACATGTTTGAAGTATAAGACGAAGCCTTTATAATAATTAAAGTTGATAAAACTGTATTGATGACTGAACTTGGTAGACCTGGGCAGAGATGATTGGTTTCATGATCGGTTCTTCTTCTGATGCCTCATCCATGCCAAAATTATTGATCACCCTTCCCGGCTCAGTCCCCCAGATAACCCTGCTGCCATAATGCACCCTACATATTTGATATAGGAAGCTATTTTTAAGACTCGGGTCTTTCAGCTGTATGAAAAATTGAAAAGAACTGGAGGAGGGAGGGAGTGAGAGACGAACAGGAGGGGGCAAGAAAAGGAGAGGACGGAGGGTGGCGGAAAGAGGGAGGGAGACAAGGATTTACTGTAAGAGAGACAAATGTCAGAGGAAAGGGGAGGCGGAGGGATGGCCACGTGGGAGGAAAAAAAAACGGCGATGGAAAGAAAAAGAGAGGTGGTAAGTGAGGGGAGCAGTACAGCGATGACCTTTTGTTGCCTTTGCTCGCTCAAACAACACGACCGCCTGTCACAACAGTACAGGCTGATGCTGCGATGTGGTGGTTGGGGAGAGAAGCCGAGTCACCAGCCTAACAAGGCGTTCAAGTCCAGCTCATCCAAAAACATCAAACCAGTAGGACATGTGCTCTTTAGTCATGAAGAGGGCTTCATCTCCGCTGCTGTCCAACACCCACTCCACAGACCAAACTCACGAGCATACGCACCCTCTTGGTGAGCTGAGTGTCCATCATGAAGTTGTGCACATGCTTCTCAGCCTTGGTCAGCTCCAGCTTCCTGGCTACCACGGCAACCACCAGAGCCGTGCAACCCGCGCCCTGGAGGGGAGAAGGGAGGAGAAAACAGTCGGTCAGCGCAGTAGCATTACATCAATGGATATGGGGGGGGGGGTCTCAATTATTAAAGGATGCCAGGGCAAATACGAGGACTGGAGCTGAATGACAGAAGGGGGAGTGAGCAGGAGAGGAGGGGATTAGGAGGGGAAAGCTCTGTTCCAGATTTCTTCATGTTGAGGAGCGAGCCACGACTATTTTCTCTTCCACTCCATCTGGTGCGAGATGCCTCCCATAACGCTTCTATATGCAGATGAAAAATTCGGCTCTCATAGGTAAAAAAAAGGGAAAAATAGAAGATTGACACCAACAAATTTCATTTAATTATATGCCGTCGATCTGAATTACACGGTGTCAGTCTTCTCCGCTCACCGGAGACTCCGGGCCTGCAGGACGTGTAAAAGTGTAAAACACAGACCGGTTTGTCTGTATTCCAGCTCAGCCCACGTGGGACGTGTGGGAAAGTCATTTGGGGACAGAGTGACGGCAGTCCCTCAACCAGAAAGGCGCGCTCGGGAGGAGAAGAGGAGCAGGAACGCAAGGAGGGAGACGGACTTAATTAACTTTCAGATTAGACTGTTTTGAATGAAGCGGCTGAGTTTTCACAGGTTCCTCTGAAGGGTGTGTGTGTGTGTGTGTGTGTGTGTGTGTGTGTGTGTGTGTGCATGTGTGTGTGTGTGATAGGAGGAGAGAAAGATGGGGAAGGCAGTGTTAATGAGGTCACATATCTCCTGATAGGCAATGCATTAAGATTAAGAGTGTTTAATGAAAGTGTACAAGTGTCTTCCTTCCTGCTTGTGAGGGCTGGCATCTCACGTGTGTGTGTGTGTGTGTGTGTGTGTGTGTGTGTGTGTGTGTGTGTGTGTGTGTGTAAAATAAAAGAGGTCTAAGAAGAGAAAGTTTGAGTTGAGGGAGCGTGCAACAGTCCTGAGATGTGTAGGAAGTAGCCACGCATTCGTGCACACACTTAAAAAGACACGACAAGGTTTGCCAAAAATACGTTTGGCTGGTTTCAGAGAGATGGAACGCGCAAACGCGCATTAGTGCCCACGTCTATACACTCATCCACTCTATTTGTGTTTATAAAAACTATGAATAAAATATGATGAGAGCCGAAGGAAACCCCTCTGTGCTCAAGGAAAAGTAGCCCTCAGTGCACGAGCGGTGCAATGTGTTCGAGCGCGGCGTGCACGTGAGCCCTCCTCGGCCACAAACAACAGGAGACTGATTGGTTCATCAGGGTAGGAATGGTGTGCGTGTGCATGTGTGTGTGTGTGTGTGTGTGTGTGTGTGTCCGCATCCATTAGATTTCAGCAGGGTTCCCTCTGCAATCTCCAGCGAGCGACGCAGCTGCTGATGGCTGCGCTGCTGTGATTTGTTTTAAACGCCTGTCAGGGTGTTTCCCTCGCCTTCTCCAGCACAGCACAGTCTGCCGAGCTGCCAGAAAAGAGGGAATCACCCGTCTCTGCTTGTGCAGAACAGCTACACTTTCCTCGTAACAACCTAAAGGCAGACAGCAACAGTCAGTCGTGTCAGCAATACTAATCGAGTGGAGCTAAATCATACATTTTTGCCTGGTGATTGTCTCATCTTAAGGTAAAAATATCAGATTTTTTTACAAGATAGTTAGATACGACTTTTTAAAAAAGGCTAACAGTCGCTCACGGAGGAAACAGACTAATTAACTCATGATCTCAAAATGAGCATCGCTACTAATGATGACTTTTCTCGTGTTTCATGGCCACTTGAGTTCTGTGTTTTTTCTTTTCTTACTTGAAAGTATTGTAATTACCATTCGTCTTTTTAGGGGACACGATGTGAGCTTTTTAAACATTTTAAACTTTTTAAACGTTTAACATGTTTTTGTTCAGTTTTAACTAAATGAGGCCCATTTCTGAGCAGTAAAAACAAAATAAGTGCACCATAAAGTTCTTTTATTTTTTATTATTATTTTTTACAAATTTCTCATATTTAAAATAGAGAAAACCATGTTTTTGTAGCTTGTGACTAATTGTAATTCAATAAACAGGTCTTCCAGTGTCTTGAAACGTTTGGACACCCGCGGGAAAACCTCTGTTTAAAAAACATCTGGAGCACATTTTGGCTCACTTGATTAGCGCGATGCAAAACACATTTTATTGACTCTGAAATTGGTAAATAATACCTTTTAAAACATGATTTTCACACAAATTAAGACAGAATTTCATTAAGCATGGGTTAACTTGACACACTTTGAGCAATGGATGAGTAGCTAGACACAGTTTGACCTTTGACCCACCCTTACTAGACTCTCTTTAGCATATTTATCTAGTTTATAGATTAGGAAGCAAAAACACTAATAGTTTATCTGATAGGCTTGTATTTTCTGACTGCTGCTCTGAGTTAGTCAGGCTCAGATAAAAACACATCATGAGGACATGTGCTTACATGCAGCACATGAGCACTTATGAAATGAATAATATATGAGATGCACGTAAACACACACAAAACAGGGAGGTGGGAACACATTTACCATAAAAATACATTTTCTAAATTTCACTGACATAAACACATTTAAACTGTTTTATTTGAGATCGGTATTTAAAGGGACTTTACAGAGTTTAGAATTTTTATGCTCGCGATTGCCCCCTCAGGCCAAAAGCGTAACGGCAGCTTCAATAGTAGGCTCGTGCACGAGGCACGCATGCTGTACGTGCACACTCCTTAACGAAAATAACAGCTGAGACAGTCCCGTGTGTGTGTGTGTGTGTGTGTGTGTGTGTGTGTGTGTGTGTGTGTGTGTGGCCCGGAGGACAGAGGACAGGAGAACACGCAGCTAATTAATTAAATAATGTGGTTCTGTACCTTTCTCTTCAGCACAGCCGACAAAGGTTTAAGATGGGTCAGTCCTCCTGCATGCTCAGATCATTCCCTTCCCTTGCTTGAAAAATTGTTCCAAAATGAAAGTTGAACACACATCTTTTTTATATGTGAATTCAATGCCGTTCGGCGAGTCTCAAAAATTTGGGCATCTTACTGTAAAAAAATATACCATTAATGTAAAAAAGAAACTCTAAATAAACTATGTTCACATCCAGAATCAAACCCAGGTCTTCTGCATGAGAGTCAGACATCTTATTAGGTGAGCTACACTCTAGTAACATTCACAGTATCTGTAACTTTTATATCCTTGATGACAGCTGAAACGACGTCAAACCAAAGAACGGTTCAAAGCAAAAATGGCTATTTTGTTGCTAATTTGCAGGAAATATCTAGAAGAAAGTTCTACAGAAAGTAGCTAAGGGTCCTCAGAAATGTAGCTAGCTTTGTCACTAGGCGTTAGGAACAGCGACAAAGTGGCACTGCCTCTCTCTCTGCTGCTAAAGCTACGGATAGCAAATGCTACGGGCGATGCCTGAGCGTGAACGCGCATGAAGCAGCCTGCTCGACCCGAGCATCTCTCTTTTTCTGTGATTTTACAGAAAAACAGGCAATCACAGTAAAAATGCCAGGGCTCATTCTACAGGACCAGGGCATTGCAGGAGAATGTATGAAGAAGACATTTATTATTTCTATACATGTTTTGGCTGTCAGACTTCCATAATGCCCCTTTAAGGACATTTTTCTTGTCATACTCAAAATCTATTAAATGAGCCTGTTTTTTCTTTGTTGAGAAACTATGTTATAAAAACAACGTTTTAAATGAAAAAGATCAATCTTCTTATATAACATAGCTAGTAAATAATGTGTTCATGCTCTAGACTTCACTACAAATGAATTAACAAGAGTAATGCATTCACATCTCTCTCTTCCACCATCCACCCCCTGACAACAACACACAACCACCCACGTGCACACACATACACCTGTAACACCCCCCAGGTAGCGTTGTGAGACTGGTGCTTTCCTTCATCTGTTGTCATAGCAACAGCAGTGAGGATTTCTCATCCAGACTCATCACATTATTCACAAACTAACATATCAAATCATGTCCTGTGTTCTGCTTTCACCCGTCACCAGAGCACAAATCCCCCGTCCTCCTCTTTATTTTATCTTCTATACGATCAGTTTTTCTGTGATCGACTTGTTTTTCTATCATCACCACAGCTCCTCCTCTGATGCTCAACAAAAATAAAACCCTCAGACCACTCTGAGGAGCACGTGTTTGTGTGTGTGACAGTGTGTGGGCATACTGGGAGTGTATGTCAAACTCTGTCAGCTCTGTGTGTGTGTGTGTGTGTGTGTGTGTGTGTGTGTGTGTGTGTGTGTGTGTGTGTGTGTGTTCAGTCGAACAGTAGGCTGAGAACTATCTGTATCCACCCAGCTGTTTTATGTCTTTTTTGTGTGCATCTGGGGTTTGTGTGTGTGTGTGTGTGTGTGTGTGTGTGTGTGTGTGTGTGTGTGTGTTTGCTCACACGTTTAATGGACCACAAAGAGAGGAAAGTAGGTGAGTTGGCAAGTAAAGAGGTAGGAATAGAGCAGATATTCAAGGACTGTGGGGACGAGGAATCCATCTGATTTATCCCACTGAATATTTTCTAAGATAATTATTCTCAGCGGAAGATTTTAATGAAAAATAAAAGGAGATTTGAAATATTGTTTAAAACTCGTACATGAAGCACTTTCTGAGTAGTACTCTTGAGTTTTCTACCTATCCAGCCTTTTTTAGACGGATTAAACAGTTCTGCACTTACAAACTTTTGCTTTGCATCAACAAAAGTACATGTGGTAATCTATCACCAATGAAATCAGGCAACGTTAACATTTGATGTCCTTCTACTATGTTTGATGTGGGCAGTGGTGCCCCCAAAGGGGAGCTAGGGGTGACAATTACCCCCCTTGGAAAAATTTGGCCATCCCACAGGGAGGACCACCACCTTAATGGATCACAATCATGTTTACACAAATCATAGATACATCCTCTTTAATCAAGACGTAAATGTTAAAGCCAATAATTAAAATGTATTTAAAGGTATAGCAAAAGATGTTTCTGAATTTCAGGAAGGAACCGTCCGCTCCTCGTTTTGGAAAATAAAAAAAGTTGCATGAGAAAGAACACCCAGTTATGCTCGTTATAAGTAACCATCGGCCTTGCAGCCAACTTCTTATTCTAGCAATAATCTGAAATTAATTTCTCCAAATAATATGCCGAACTTTGGCTGGCCAATCGAGCAGAAAACTGGCGACAGAGCGAGGAGCCCAACCTTCGCTTTGCGCATGCGCAGGAAGTGAAAACTACCTAGCAATGTACGACGACAGCCTTGCGTGAATGGTTCACCAGAATGATTGACAGTTAAGCAGTTTCCTTATCATTGTCTTAGCTGGTCTGGCTCATCTGATCTCAGCCAATCGTGTTTTTACCATGGGGAAGGGGGCATGTATGCATGTGTGTGTGTGTGTGTGTGTGTGCGTGTGTGGGTGGAGGAGTGTTGTGAAGGGTTTTTTATTGTCAGACTCATGGACGTAATTTTTTTGGGGGGGCGGGGGACAGGGGGACATGTCCCCCCCCCCCCCCCCCCCCACACACACACACTTTTTCCAAAGTCAAGTTTTGACCCCTGCACTTTTTACCATCCAAAATTAATATTACGCTATATTAAACTGACACTGGTTGAGCTCTAGGACCAAGCAGAAAACAACAGTTTGTGTTGAAGCCTGTTTCCCATTAGAACATATTGTAAAGACCCCCCCCCCCCCCCCCCCCCCCCCCGTGTCTCCCCCCCACCCCCCCACCCCACACACACACACACACACTTCTAAAGTGAAAATTACGTCCATGGTCAGACTGTTTTTAAAATTCTGGGCACGGGAAAGAATGCGGGGTCTTTTTAATTTGTTAAGCACTTTGACTTGCATGTATTGTAGGATTAAGTGCTGTATCAATAAAGTTGATTGATTGATTGATTGATTGTGTTTCACATGCATTTTCAAAGATTTCTACATTTCATGAAGATTTTTGTGCCTCATTCGTTGACAAACTGAAAAAGTATAAAATACTTTCCACCACCTCACACTGGTGGGGATGTATACACTAAAACAATAGATATGCTCTAAACAATTATTTCTCTGTCTTATACAATAAAGTGTTAATCATCTGAACTAATATAATGTTTTGTTAATTTCCTGGGATGTAATCAACTTTAAAATGCAACAGGATCACCTTTCTGTTCAACACCAACCGTCTCATGCTGCGCTGCCATCGACTTTACCTCTACTCTCATTACATTATTAATAGATGTGCCAAAAGGACTTTCAAAAGAAGCTGTAAAAGTCAAATAGAGTGTGGCGGCTTGGTGACCTTCCACAGAAACCCAGGGGGACTGTGTGATGGCAATTAGGAGGGAAATCATGGGATAGCTCAATCATTGTGGCTGGCTTTAGGGAAGCTAAAGGTAAACTGAATTAAATGCATTTGCAGAACACTGAACAATTGGGGGAAATATTGAGAAACTGATGGTTTGCTGTTTTATTAAAAACTCCCTGTCAGAGTTAGCCAATGGTGGAGGTGTGGACTCTACTGGCCAAGCGCGGTTTATTGGATCATCTACAAATTGCAACATCTGGTTATAATATGCAATATCATCAACAGTACTGTATGTAGTTTTTACCTGAATTACATCAAGTATTCATGAATCAGCCTCCACTTTGTAGATGTGTATTTTCATCCTTGAGTTACTTTATTGATGGTGAACACTCATCCAGCTCGGAGTACGATTTGTTTTAATTGGTTCAGCTGTAGTGTGTTGTTTACTGTGGTGTTGTTGACAAAAGGTGGTATTTTTGGACAATTTGAATAGAAATAATTGATTCTGGAGGAACAAATTTGTTCAACTTTTATAATTTACTGAACCCAGACAATAATCTAATGATGCCACTCAAACAAAATGATGTATGTTAGCAAATCTGTGTGCATGGCCTCTGTATTTATTATCTATTCGTTGTGTAAAACAGATTAAAAAATCAGCAAAAACCTGAAAAACACTTTGCTGATTGTTTTAGAATCTTGGAAGCGAGGTAAAACACTTAATTATCTCTGATCTACTGTGTTTTTAGTATGTCTATGTACTAAATATTAGTATACTAATACTGACACATCACACACTGGTTAGCTTTATATTAAGACAAACATATTAGAATAAACACTGTTGTTACAGAAACATACTCATTAAAATGTGGGTGTGTCATCTATGCCTCACTAACATTATTTTTAATTAAAAAAATTACTTAAACGCAAATTGTTCTGAATGATTAAAATGAGATTAATCAAGATTAATTAATTAATTACAAAATCTTTTAGACATTTTTTAACTGAGTCCCACCTCTAAAAATTATGTGTCCTTTAAAAAAAATAAACCAAACATATCTCCCAAAACAGAATTTAATTAGCTGTACATCTGTTCAAATCTAATATTATTGTGTTCTAAAAACAGCAGAAACCAGAAGAAAGGATTAAAAAAGGCCAGTTGGGCAAAAGGGACAGAAAATATGACAAAGACTGAAAGCAAACAGGAAAACCGAAATGACAGAAGTTGGAGAGGAGAAGATTACCGGTGAAGTAAATAGCGTCGAAGTCGGCAGCTTCAGTGCTAATACTAGCAGATGGGTGATAGATAAAAATAAGCACGTGGCCTCAGGGTGGGCAAGACAGACAGAAAAGATAGAAAATCAAAAGAATTTGATCAGATGTGAGCAGCAGAGAGTGATAAAGAAAAAATATTAGAGACTGATAGTGAGAAATTGAGAGTGGGAGGACATGGCACACTGAAAGGTAGGACCTTCATTATGCAACGAGAACAGACAAGGGAACAACACACACAAAGACACACAAACTGCCGACATGCTCCTGTTTGGACGCCTACATGAAGAAAACACACAGGAGCACAGATGCAGCTAATTCACAGAGGATTGCCCAAATTACACCGGGCAGAAATTCTCTTGAAAATGACAGCGTGCTCTCTAATCGGCTGACCTTTGAACAGGACAGCGCCTCGGGGAGAGTGTGTGCGTGACACATGGAGCAGGGAAACAAAATGTACTGACCATGATGCCTGTGAGCAGACACACTCCTTTGCCACAGTAGGTGTGAGGAACCATGTCTCCATAACCGATGGAAAGGAAGGTGATGGAGATCAGCCACATGGCTCCCAGGAAGTTACTGGTCACATCTTGGGCATCGTGGTATCTAAAGAACCCCCTCCACACACACGCACGCACGCACGCACACACACACACACACACACACACACACATATGTAGAGGACAAAGTCAGCCAATAGGGAGATACAAATATTAAACAAAAGTCACGACTGGCCGACTACTTCCGACTGCAAAAGTGGGAATCACAACTAAAACACGTGTCCCACAAATTTTGCCTGACTTTAACACAGTTACCATAGCAACCAGACTCGGTACAGATCTAGAAAAAAAGTGGATTTTTCCGGAATAAAAAAAAAATTCACCAGAAATGATCTGAAAAACCATTTAACCTCGAGAGTTTCCAATAGATACACTCCAAGCTTTTTAATCACATTTACTTCTTATTTTATTTAAATATTTTTGGTTTGAATAGAAAACACCAATAAAAGTTAACCGAGGAGCTCATGACAGATTCAGTTGCAATAAAAGCAGCGAAGAGCCGAGCCTAGCCTAGAATCTAGACCAGGGGTGTCAAACTCAAACTCACAAGGGGCCGAAATGAAACTCTGGGACGGAGTCAAGGGCCAAACTTAATATTTTTGAAAAAGTGACGGCAAATTTGCTCTTTTCTTTATCAACATAAATGCAATTTTGAACCTTTAAATTTGGAAACAAACATATTTCTGCATTAACACTGAATGTGGAATAACCAGATGACACACGAGCAAGTCAGTTTTAAATAAAAGGCATCAGTGGTATTCATTACTTGTGGTATAATCAGCATTTTTAAAATCTATTCAGGATTTATGTTTTCTTGTTTATTCATTTTTCTTATTTTTTATTCTCTTTTTCTCCTGTAATAAGTGTCATCGCTGCTGTGACATCTAGCTTTCCCCACTGAGGAACAATAAAGGGATTTTCTATTCTATTCATCTATCTGCAGCCTTTCCACTTCCTGTTTACTGTAGGTTAAATCTTTTCTCACGGGCCAACAACAAAATAAAAATATCATTTTATCTTAAATGAAAATGCAACATCTCACCTGTTAACTTTCATGTTTTGGAGCAGAAAAAGAGCATAAAACCAACATATTTAAAGCTCCGTTTGTTCCACTGGTTTACTGTGATGCTCACCTGTTCCAGCCAGATACCTGCATCATGGGGTTGATCTGAGCTGAGGAGGAGACTCCTGTTGTTTTGTTCATCTTCATCATCATAATGACAACATTAGATGACAACAGGTGCTCACATAGGTTTGTGCTGCTGAACATGTCTGAGCAGCGTGACCACGTTGTTGTGTGTCGGGGAGGAAACACGACAGCAGCCACAGAGCCGTGCTGGTTTGAGCGTGTCGCTGCTCGCTGGAGTTATATCGGCTCTGTCTGGAAGTTAGTTGGAAAACTTTCTCTTTCAGTCGTGAACACATTACTGAGCGGCTAGAATCTCCGTTTCTGGGCTTCAACGTCAGAAAACAGCTGAGTGAACTCGGCGCTGAGTGTAGGAGTGTAGTTTGTCCGAGACGCGGAGGCGCTGAAAAAACACAAAGGAGGGGGCTTCGTCGGCTCCGCGCTGACGCCGCAAAGCATCATGGGAGTTGAAGTCTTTGCGGTAAAATCGGCCAGCGGGCCAGTTTTAATATATTTTTGATATTTATCTCGCGGGCCACATAAAAATGCTCCGCGGGCTGCATATGGCCCGCGGGCCTTGACTCTGACATATGTGATCTAGACCTAGCCTGTCGGTCTAGCCACGCTTCGCTAGAACCTCCACAGCCCCAGACAGTCTGGTTTCGGTCCAATCACAGCGCCCTATCAGTTTGGTGGGTGGGATATTACTGCGACTGGGCGAAACTAAGACGAAGACGGCTCATTTGGACTCTTTAGACTTGAGCTTTTCTTTGAGTCAAGAACAGATAGAAGTTTTTAATTATTTTTAGACGAATATTATTTGCGTCTTTGACAGAGTGTGGCGGACTGCCTCGTTGACTGACGTCTGTAGCGGTGAGTACATCACGTTGTTTGTTGTCCAATAGCATGCACAGACAGTCGTAGCTCCTGCTCCACGAATGAGAGCTGTCAGTGGATCGTGGTTAGGACACACACACACTCAGACTTGTGCACTGACCTCTCACACACTCGTACAGTCCAGGCAGCGATGATCCACAGAGAGATGCTGAAGACCAGCAACACCGTCCCGGGGCAGATAGTCATGAGGGTTTTCATTACGAACCTCGTGTTAAAATGGACCTGAAATACACACAGACCATTAGACCGCCTCGCAACTCACCCTTTCATCTGCATGTTTTATGTTCATGTTGGAGGAAGGGGTCAACCAATCCTCTTTTGAAGAGATTTTCACGACAGACACACTTCAAAATAAAAGTGTGGTTTTGACAGTAGCAGAGGCGCTCGCCCTGAAACCGGAGGGTTGCAAGTTCCAGTTTGTTGCAGTTGTCGTGTCCTTTGGCAAGACACTTTACCCGCTTTGCCTGCTGGTGGTCGGAGGGTATGGTGGCGCCAGTGTTCGGCAGCCGTGCCTCAGTCAGCCAGCGCAGCTGTGGTTACAATGCAGCTCATCACCACCAGCGTGTGAGTGTGTGTGTGTGTGTGTGTGTGAATGGCTGACGTTGTTATAAAGGACCTTGGGGGGTTGTGGAAAAAAATACATTTGCTGGAATTATTTCCAACAAGCAAACAATTAGCTAAACAGCATCAGATTTCACAGATGAAAAATATCTCTACAAAAACCGCCGTAAAGTCGACTTTGGCGCGTCAGGCTGTAAACTGTTGGTGTTTATTATACCTTTATACAGAGCTGTGAAAAGAATACACGTGTAATAAAGATTTTCCCAGTTTTCCTCTTTTTATCAACTTAAATGTTTTCAGATTAGCAAACAAATGATCAGAGTAGCAGCTAAAGATGCCCGGAGTAAAAACCAACTGCAAATGTCAAACGACTCCAAACCAAACTGGTCCTGTGTGAAAAAGTAGCTCACCCTTTCACTCCTGATGATAACAAATGCAATCAAGGTCCGCGTGAAAGGCCAGTTTAAGGTTAAAGGTCCAACGTTATCCTTCAGGATTTTCTGGTAGCGAGCATAGTTCATGGTTTCATCAGTAACAGCCAGTGGACCAAGTCCTGAAGCAGCAAAGCGACACCAGACCATCACACTCCCACCACCATGCTTAACTGTTGGTGTGACGATGTTCCGTTTCTGAAATGCAGTGTTTGTTTTACTCCAGATGTAGCGGGACACATTTTGTCTCATCAGTCCACTGCCTTGGGAATCCTAGATGTATTTAATTGGAAATGTGAGAACAGCTTTTGTTCAGTTTTGGCCTCTTTTTTATGGTAAGCCATAACCTTAAAGACCAGGTTCACATGTCTGCAGTGGTCTCTAGTAGGGATGAGCCGGATACTCGTTTCAGATGAGTATCCGGTACGGATAAAGCATTTTTGACGAGTACGAGCATGAAACGAGTAAAACTCGTAAATATTTGTAATCGTGCTGAAGGAAAATCCTCATTGGGTAACTGACTGTCTTCATGCTCTGTGATTGGCCAGTCACGTAGAGCACCCGCCCCTCCCTACACACAAAACTCTGCAGCCGGGAGCTCACAGCTCAGTCCGCGTCCGGTCCATCCACGCACACACACAGACAGTAACGGACCTCTCTGTGCTTGCTTCACTGTTCACGTTTCTTCAGTACTCCCTAGGTTTTCTGCAGTTTGCTTCTTTTTAAAGTTACTTTAAAGTTATTTAAAGTTACTTTTTTCATAACATACGTGGTGCATTTGACAAGACAGAGCTGAAAACGGCTCGTGCTGCGTCAGTCACTGCCTCCGCTCCGGTCGGGTTTTTTTCCTCTCTCTCTCTCCTCTTCCTCAGGATCCACTCCCTCTTTCCTTTTCACTCTCTCTCTCTTTCTTTACATTTTTTAATCACAATTGTCTATTTTTTGCTCATTTTAAATATATTTTTAATAATTTTCTATGCTCTTTTTTTTATATTTAACATTTTTAGTTTTTGTGAAGCACTCCGTGATTTTTATCTTGAGAGGCCCTATAGAAAAGATATGTTCTTCTCTCTCTCTCTCTTAATTCATGCACTTAAATATTAATGTTCTGATTTAATTGAAAAACTTGTTCTTTAATAGTTCCTTTACTATTGTGATCAAAAACATTTAATCTCAACTCTGAGGCTGCTCTGTAAACAGTTTTCAAATAAACAATACACATAGCAACTTCTGATCAGACTTAAAATAACGTATTGATGTAAACCACACCCACTTTCGGTTAAACTACACCCACTTCCGGTTTAGGCCACGCCCACTCTGATTACAGATACAGATAGTGGATAGAGGAATGTCTTGTGAGTCAATCTCTGTAGGGGGTAGAAGACTATTTTCACGTCTAGCCTGCATGTTAAACTTAGAGAGACCAATCAAAAACAACAAGTAAAAAGTTTCTCAGTGAACTTGGTCTTTAAGAAACAGGATTTGGCCTTGAAAACACACACTGAGGGTTACCAGAGCTGATAAATGACTGTGTCGCCTCAGAGGAACCACTCTCCTCTACAGGTCTAGTAATTAGCTTTGATAACAGCAGAGATTCTTGCTGTAAATGGAGTCCAGGTCAGGTCTTGACCTCCGACTCGGGTCATGCGATACAGTGCTGGTGAGTGATTGGTCCGTTTCAGAGCAGTTGTTATAAGTGACTCATTTGTCAATAAGAGGAGCCCGTCAAGTTCTGACAGATGGATCATTTGATGGTTGAGGCCTGGAAGGGTAAACCAGCTGATAAATGACTTGTCACTTTGGAGCGGCACTTGGACGGCAGCTTCGTGTCATCTCCCCGTCGCTGTGGGCTCAAGAGCCCGAGGAACGCCGCATAAATACACCAGCAAACACCTCGATTACTCATCCAAAGTCCACTCCTTTCCCGCAGAGTTTTCATGAACCACGGTGCATCGTCGACATCCTGATCTTCCAGCGTTTACTGCTGAGCAGCATTAGAAACACGGCATCTTTTCTTTTATTAGATGACTTGCACAGATTTTTTTTTCTGCACTCACTTTCCAATTTCATTTGTCATTTCATGGCCCATTTGAGCCGTTTGCAATTTCTCGCTCCCGTGTCATATTGTATTTCGAACAATCCACCATAGCTTACATCTAAATCTCTGAGCAGAATAATACGAAAGCAAAGGAACAGCTTTGAACTGGTTGATGAAACAAAACAAGTTAACAAGAAGAGCAGGAATCTGTCGACATTTTACGTTGAAAAGCTTCTTCAGATAATTCCAGAAACACCTTAAGAAAAGCATCCAGTTGAACTCAAGCTGCACAGACACACACCCACAGATGCAGCAGCTCTCTGACCTTATTTAGGGCACCTATACTCCTAGAGGAGGCGTCGGTGAAGAGCTTGCTGTGCAGAAGCATGACTCTGGCGATGAGGTAGAGGCGCAGGAACATGGGCACGCTCAGCACCATGTCCAGGTCGGCCTCCGCCTGCGAAGACACGTACGAGAAGGCCAGCCGTGCACGCCACTTAAATTTAAAGTCCCCAGGCACCGGATGCACTGCAGACACAAGCAGCTCCAGAGCGATCAGCAGAACCCTCTCCATCGTCATGGCGATGCGCCAGTCGTCAGCCCCGTTGTCTATGACAAACAGCTGTGGGGACAAAAAAGGACACGGGAGTGGAATCGTTAAAAGAACTGACGCGTCTTTTAGTGCCTCGCTGTGAGAGACTTCATCATCTGCTTGGTGCGGTCCTGTCACCGGTACAGCTGATTCAGGTTGTGATTACAGAAACCAGCATAAATCAGAGTCAACGTCTTTCCTGTCATGTAAAACAAAACCTGTTTAATCAGCAGTTCAGGCACATCACAGGCCTGCGAGGATCGTCTTTTTTTTAAACCGTGTCCTGTCTGGCGGTGAAGCAAACATAATTGATGTCTGAGTGCTGGTGACAAGCCTTACAGATTTACTCTCAGGTGGAGCATCAAAGCGTCTGCTTTTAATGTCACGCCTGATACTGAAAACTTTATTGTTATTGTTGTTGAATGCTTTGTAATTCCGACCAGACACGGAGACAGAGGTGAAAGAGAAAGGAAAAGAGTCTGCTTATAGACCTGCAGAAAGAGAAAGAACAGAAAAAAACTGGGACACACAACAATACATCAGGAGCAAGCTATCACTGCGTCAACCTGATGATGAAATATAAAATCAACATTGTTTAACTGAACAATCACGATAATAAATCACAGTGCATTTAGTGGCAACGACAGCCTTAAGACAAGTGTTGAACGTGCCCAAGCCCATACTTATGTGAGCACCTGTGTGTACACGCGCTTGTTTATGTAAGGTTTCTCTATAGGAGCGTCCAACAGAGAGTGTGAGGGACCACAGATCTGCCCCCAAAGATGTGTAGGAGACGGGGGGAGCTCCAAGTCCCAGAGATCCAGGCACTGCCCCAGAACACAGGAACCCCAAGGAGACAACCAGACCCCCCCCCCCCCCCTCCCCCCCCCTTCCCGAGAGGCACAGAGGATCGCCCCGGGGGGGCCACAACCAGCAGCCGGCAGGGTCTCGGGAGATATCAGCGGCAAGCCCACAGGCTCGCTCGCCGCCTCCCACCTCCTAGCCGGCCGAGCCCGGGACCCAGCGACCCGGGACCCAGAGGCGACCACCCCCGCCGGGGACCCAGCAGAGCCCAGGGACCCAGACCCCACCAGGCAGCCACCGGGATTGATCAGGCAGATGCCAAAAATCTTAAAACCCCCTGACCCGGTTGCCACGAACACTCAGGCAGACCAAGGCACCACACCCCACACCAGGTGTGGCAGGGGGAGGGGAGACGAAGATCTATATCATCAAAAGAAGTTCCAGGAGAAGGGAGGAGTCAAAGGCCCCACCTGACATATACAGTCATACACAAACACAGTCACACACTCCCTCCCTCATGCTCACACATACACATACAACCAAAGACTCACAAAAATGCACGCCGGACACCCACTCATGCTCCCCGTACTGCTGCACATGGGGTACAACCATCACCGGTTACCAGAGTTTGACCCTTTCTGCTGGGGTGCTGATGGCAGGCTCCCCCGCCCAACGCTGAGCACAGCAACCCACCACCCCAGACCCCAACCAGACAGCCAGATCTCCCTCCTAGCCTCCAGCCCCAGGAAGCCAAGCAACAACAGAGGTGTGCTAAGACCCCCTAGTCTCCCTCCGCCTGCTCCAATATAGTGTTGTGTGTTGATGAGGTGTATTCCATGGCTGTGGTGAGCGGGCAGTGCGGGCATTGTCTGGCCTATGCCAGCGGATGCCACGGCACCACCCCACTTGCACCCACAGCCCTCGGTGTCTAAGTGCAGTTTAAAATTGGAAGTGGGCACCGGCACTCGGGGAGGAGGCTGAGAAATCCCCCTGCCAAGTGCCGTTGAATGTGCTGACTCCCAAGGCCCTAAGTGTGTGTTTGCGTGGAATGTTGTCGGTGGAAGTGTATAAGCTGCGAGGCTCGTCTTACTGAAACGAACACAGAGACGCCGAGTCATTCGGAGCCCTGGCTCTTATGCAAAACAGGTGTCTAATTATTAAAATCACTCTAGTTAATCTTTAATAGAAAAGGAGTTACGGCTTTATTTCTTCAGCTTGTTTCTGGGGTTAGGGTGGAGGGGTGGGGTCAGGGTAAAGTGGAGTCACAGGGTCTGAGCGGCAAGGGCATCCCCTAGGGGTGGCCAGGGGTGGCCAAGACCACCCCTAGAAAATTGCTGCGACACCCCCCCCCCCCCCCCCCCCGGAAAAGCCAGTGTTAACAAATCATATTAATTTTCAGTCAAACCATATTGATCTGGTTTATTTAAGACATAACTGTAAATCAAAACAAAATATTACAATTAATGAGTAAAGAAATAATCAGAGTGAAAAAAATACACAAGTTTCTGCTGCTCCCCATTTAAAAAAGGTTTTTATCTCCATAGCTTTTTTTAACACAGCAACAGGTGAATTAACCTAAAAAATACATTTAAAAATTAAATTAGGGGTAACATTTTAAATAGCTGAAATGTATATTTCTGAAATGTTTGTGTTTGTAAAATTTAAAGGGACATTATGGAAGTTTGACAGGCAAAACATGTATAGAAATAATAAATGTCTTCTTCATACATTCTCCTGCGATGCCCTGGTCCTGTAGAATGAGCCCTGGCATTTTTACTGTGATTGCCTGTTTTTCTGTAAAATCACAGAAAAAGAGAGATGCTCGGGTCGAGCAGGCTGCTTCATGCGCGTTCACGCTCAGGCATCGCCCGTAGCATTTGCTATCCGTAGCTTTAGCAGCAGAGAGAGAGGCAGTGCCACTTTGTCGCTGTTCCTAACGCCTAGTGACAAAGCTAGCTACATTTCTGAGGACCCTTAGCTACTTTCTGTAGAACTTTCTTCTAGATATTTCCTGCTAATTAGCAACAAAATAGCCATTTTCACTCCGAACCGTTCTTTGGTTTGACGTTGTTTCAGCTGTCATCAAGGATATAAAAGTTACAGATACTGTGAATGTTACTAGAGTGTAGCTCACCTTGTAAGATGTCTGACTCCCATGCAGAAGACCTGGGTTTGATTCTGGATGTGAACATATTTATTTTTTACATTAATGGTATATTTTTTACTGTAAGATGCCCAAATTTTTATTTGAGACTCGCCGAACGGCATTGAATTCACAGATAAAAAAGATGTGGGTTCAACTTTCATTTTGGAACAATTTTTCAAGCAAGGGAAGGGAATGATCTGAGCATGCAGGAGGACTGACCCATCATAAACCTTTGTCGGCTGTGCTGAAGAGAAAGGTACAGAACCAAATTATTTAATTAATTAGCTGCGCGTTCTCCTGTCCTCTGGGCCAAACACACACACACACACACACACACACACACACACACACACACATACACACACACACACACACACACACACACACACACACACACACACACACACACACGGGGCTCTCTCAGCTGTTATTTTCGTTAAAGAGTTTGCACGTACAGCATGCGCACCTCGTGCACGAGCCTACTATTGAAGCTGCCGTTATGCTTTCTGCCTGAGGGGGCAATCGCGAGCATAAAAATTCAAAAGTCCGTAAAGTCCCTTTTTGAGTATGTACTGTTATTTTAATAAAAACAAATAAAGGTGCAATGCAATACATCTCCACAGGCTAAATTCTCCCAGAGTTACCACAAGGACCAATTTGGTGTGCCACCCTAAAAATTTCTTGGGCCCATCTGGCCACCCCTATCAAAATTTTCTGGAGGCGCCCCTGCTGAGCGGTAAACAAGCAGTTCTCCCTTTTAAATACATTCAACATGAATAATAATAGGAATGAATTCGTGTTTATCATAAATGCAAAACTACTTGTTTAATTATTAAAAAACCCCATTCCCACCTCAGATGCCTCGCGGTGCTTTGATCCACCGCCTCCCGTCGCTCCAAACCAAAATCAGTGGAAGAGACTCCAGCAAACAGTGAAAATATTAAATAAAGCATGTTTGGGGGGATTTTTCCAACTCAAGCACAGATTTATACCTCTGTGGTCACACGACAATGCTGGATGTGCAGGTGTGAGTTAGTTAAGCTGAACTCACAAAGAGCTTATGTGAGGATTACTGACATTCATTTAGTGTTAATGATCGGGGGTGTTTTGAATGATAAACACACGTCGGGGGTGGGGTGTGGGGGGGTGGGGTGTAGATTGGATCCAACCCAACTAAAATCCACATAACCACGTCTGAAGGACTTCTCACCCCCAGGTCCTTCTGACTTCATTTCAGGGTGATGAGGACAGATTAATGGCCACGAGGCTCGAATGCGGTCTTCCTTTTGGACAGTAACCCCTCTGAGTTCTTCTGTTTGTTAAATGTGATGAACACCTTAATGAGGGACGTGATCAAACACAGCCAGACGTTTGAACAAGTGTGCAGGACACATGATTGTCTCTGAATGCCTCATGAGGGCGGACTTCGTACTTGAAAATGTGATGAACTTTGATCATCGTTGATATAATTAAAGAGGGCTTTCTCTCGTTATTTCACTCTAGCACGAATGAAGCCTTGTGAGTGAAAAGGCTCTGGCGCTCCTGTTTCAGGAATTGGAAAAGACAGAATTTGGATTCTTACTCATTATCATTCATGGTATCTGAACAGAGTAAATGCTAAATAGCCTATATAAAAACATATGGCTTTCTAGGGTTCTACAGACATTCACATGCTGATTGTGATGAGCTATTGGTTTGGTTCGCCTCTCCGCACAAGCAGGATAAATGATAAATGACCCGCACTTGTATAGCACCTCTCAGAGTAAGGACTCCAGAGCGCTTTACACTACGGTGTGGCATTCACCCATTAACACACACATTCAGATCCCACTTTCTGTTCTTCACGAGCGAGCGGTGCACAGGAAGGCTACGCTGATCAGTGCAGACTCAACCCATCCATTGAACCCACATTTTCAGTTACTTCCGTCAGGAAGGAGGTTCAGGGTTCCATTGGCCAAGAAAGGTGCTCATAAGAAATCATTTGTTCCCACCGTAATTACTATTCTGAATTATTAGATGTTTTTTTACGATGATAACATTCTAATACCTTTTAATTGTCTTTTAATGTATTTGTGTGAAT